TCATTCACATATCATTCATATATTCTTCTAGGGGAGATTTTCAATGTCCCTCTAAGTTTCTTTAGACCCCTATGAGTCCTTGTCATCTCATTTCTGACCTCCAAAGAGTTTATTCACTCAGTCACTCAACTGATCAGATTTATCCGCTATCCCTTAAAATCCCCAACTCAGCTGGGTTCAGCAGGCTTCTATGTGGTAGAATAAATTCAGTCACTTATTCAACTTTTTTAAAATGTTATTTCTGAGGAGGGAGCCAAAAAGGTTTTAAATGTTAGCCCAGCATTTGCATATGGTCAGATGCAAGAGGGCAGAGAACTGTAAATGCAGTATTCAGCCAGGATAATCATTGATTCATCAGCTTAAAAAGCAGCAAGGATCCTTCAGGTTAGTTGGCTTGCTCAGCAAATGTTCTAGCAGCCCTTGTCAACAGAGCCAAATAAAGAGTATTAAAGGCACAGGTAGGTTTTGATTAGTGTGGTTAATGAATCCCACAAAATGGTTGCTTTATTCAAATTCACACTATTCAAAGGGATATTTCTATAAAAAATACGGTAATTGGTCCAAGCTTAATGGAAATAAGCGATTAAAAATTAATTATAAATTTTTATGTATATGTTAATGAAATATTACAGTAAAGGATAAAAATAATATACTTACAATTTAAATTTATGGGTAACAAATTCACAGAGTAGTTATAGAAAGCAAAACAAAAGCAAAAAAAAATTCTATCATAGGTTCAGGCATTCCAACATCTGGTCCTATTTTAATGACCACGTTCTATGCTGTGACCATGTTCATATGGTTCAACTACATCAAATTTTTGCTCTAATGTAATAACAAGCCTGTTCTTTTTTACATTTTTACTATTTTCCTCTGATGGGATCTTCCTTTTCTCCATTTTGCACACACGAAAATTAGCAGCATCTAAAGCCCCAACCTCAATTGCGCACGTGCTAGCCTCATATTAGCTTAATTTTGGGTTGCATTAAACACAACCTGGTATCAGTTTACAATTCACACTAAATCAAATATTGCATTATTCGAACTTGCACTCGCAACCTACCTGTACTGATATTTCAATGCTAATTTGAGATTTGAAGAGCAGCATGGGTGGCTGTCAGGAAAACTCAGAGAATGGTTGCTTGATTCAGCTCTGTCTCGTGCACATACTTTTTTTCCCCCTTTAATATTTTTTATTAAACGTTTTTGAAAAAGGAAAAGAAAAAGGCAAACGAGAAAAGAGGAAAAGAAAAAAGAAAAATAAGCCATAAAGTAATATATAAATATCAATGCCAAGAAGATATAAGGATACAAAATTAATTGGGATAAGCCTTTTTTATTTCCTTTAGGTTCTGAAGTATCAATAGCACGATGTAAAGGTTTAGGACTTGCAATTGTTACAGATTATATTATTTAGGACTTTTTAGGTAAAATATGTATTTATGTAAAATACCTATATAAAATACGTATTTTATATATTTTATCTATATTTTAGAAAATATGTATTTTTAGATATGTGTCTAAATATGTCTATGCCTAAAATATATCTATATTTTATGTTTAAATATATGAAATTAAATGTGTCAAAATTCTAGAGGAGGTTGCCTTAGATATTAATAGATGGATTATAATTCCATTAACTTGGTGGAGTAAAATTAATGTTATTAAAATGAATAACCCTCCACAGTTAATTTATGTTTTAAGAGGCATCTCAGTGTTAATCCCAAATGATTATTTTCTCTTGATAGCTAAGTTATTGAGGAAAGTTATAAGGAAAAATAGACCACCTAGGTTTTTATTAGCTAAACTGAGATTATCTTTTGAGGATGGTGGTTTTCATTTACCAGATGTTCAAAAATATTATTGGACATATATTTTATTGGCTACATTGATGTGGAATGAACATTTAGCAGAATATCAAATTTTGTGGGTTTTGTTGGAAAGTTTCTATTTATTTCATGCACAAAACTAGTTACTTTGTGTGGATGTCAACTTTAGTAATATTTATTTTTTTAAAAAATAGGTTGAAATTAAGGTTTTAGAATTTATTTCATTCTATTATAAATCAGTTTGCACAATTGTTGGGCTTTGCAACATTGCTACCAAATATGAAAAATGATCCAACCCAATCATTACATTTCCAACAATTTTTGGTACGTGAACTGTCCATTATAACCATCAATAGTGAAGTAATATACCAGCAGTAGAACATACCAGTTTTCTGTAAGAACACAGTACATTATTTACAGAATTTAATTTATTCTGCTCTTGAAATTTCTGTTGTTGCATATCAATTATTGTGTCTACATTCTGCATCCATTTAATCATACAATCTTTAACTTGTTCACTTGCTGAGTCATATTTCACCAATAGTTTATAAATATGGCTTAGCAAATACTGCAGATTTTGTGACATGATGTTTTCAATTTCAGTCAATTCTCTAACTCTTTGTTTTTTGCAATTCTTTTAAAAATATACTACTTATTTGAAAATATTTCAACTGGTCAGGTAGTTCTGGCCATTTCAAAGAAAGGAGCTCAACATAATTTATCTTCATCTTATTAATTAAATCTTGCAGCCTATAAATGTTTCTCTATCCACTGAGTAAATTTCTCTCTGCTTTCCTCTTCATGAAAACAAATGCTTAATAACAAGGCAAGAGGTGATAAGTATGGAGTGATTTTTTTACTATGTTTATCCCAAACTTTTTAATATTCTGCTTACTGTTGCATAACTTCTTAAAAACTGTCTATTTCTATTTGAATAAGTCCAAAGATATTTATGCAAACTCTCCTGCTTCCTTGTTACAGGTAGTGTAATATTTAATTCTAAAGACAGTTCAATGCCACAATCCTGCTGGCTTTCTACCAGTTAAAATTGACATGGGTTCCTTCAAGGAATCATAGGAAGTAAACTTTGTTCAGAAGAGTGATAGGACTGGTTTTTCTCTCTCCTCCTATCTACATTTCACTGGGTAGCATAACTGATGAATAAAGTATTTGGAATTCACTTCCCTATGGTAGTGATAGCCGCAAAAGTGAGGGATGGTGGAGAGATTTTTCCTTCCACTCAGTTCCCACTTTGCCATGCTGCTGAAGATTGTACCATACAGGTTATCCTCAGCTTACAATGACAGTTGGGCCCAGAATTGCCATTGCTAACTGATGTGGTCATAAAGCATGATGTCGCATCCTGGTTGCCCTTATTAAGTGAGGACCATGAGGGTTGTTAAGTGAGAACCTCTCGTGACCATGATTTCCAATTTCCTGTTGGCTTCCCCATTGACCCTGTGGGAAGCCAACAGGCAAATTGCAATCATGTAACCACAGGGACACTGTGACAGCCGGAACTACGAGGACTCATAAGTACCATTTGTTCAGTGCCATTGTAACTCCTATGGATTAAAGGTCAGGTTTTGAAATGGAAGGTGGTGCAGAAAGTTTCCTAGCAATAAAACTGGATTTTACACTCTGGATATGAATACATTAGCACAATATACATCAAGTGAGTTATGCACTGTGACCTGCAAAATAATTTTCAGAATGTTTGCATGGAAAAAAACAGGATTACAGTTTGTTCTGGCTTTAGTTTTCTTTCTTTCTTTTTTATTTTTATTGAAGAAATTTTTACTTAATAAAAACATTTAAAGGAAAAATAAAATAAAGGAAAGGAAAAGAAAAGAAAAGAAAAGAAAAGAAAAGAAAAGAAAAGAAAAGAAAAGAAAAGAAAAGAAAAGAAAAG